TTGCTGTGAGGCCTGGTAGGATGGGGGTGAGGGCTGGTAGGATGGGGGTGAGGGCTGGTAGGATGGGGGTGAGGGCTGGTAGGATGGGGGGGGGGAGGGCTGGTAGGATGGGGGTGAGGGCTGGTAGGATGGGGGTGAGGACTGGTAGGATGGGGGTGAGGGCTGGTAGGATGGGGGTGAGGGCTGGTAGGATGGGGGTGAGGACTGGTAGGATGGGGGTGAGGGCTGGTAGGATGGGGGTGAGGCCTAATAGGATGGGGGTGAGGGCTGGTAGGATGGGGGTGAGGGCTGGTAGGATGGGGGTGAGGACTGGTAGGATGGGGGTGAGGACTGGTAGGATGGGGGTGAGGACTGGTAGGATGGGGGTGAGGACTGGCAGAATGGGGGGGGGGGGGGTGAGGGCTGGTAGGATGGGGGTGAGGGCTGGTAGGATGGGGGGGGGTGAGGCCTGGTAGGATGGGGGTGAGGACTGGTAGGATGGGGGTGAGGGTTGGTAGGATGGGGGTGAGGACTGGTAGGATGGGGGGGAGGACTGGTAGGATGGGGGGGAGGACTGGTAGGATGGGGGTGAGGGTTGGTAGGATGGGGGTGAGGACTGGTAGGATGGGGGTGAGGACTGGTAGGATGGGGGGGGGAGGACTGGTAGGATGGGGGTGAGGGTTGGTAGGATGGGGGGGGGACTGGTAGGATGGGGGTGAGGGTTGGTAGGATGGGGGGGGGGGAGGACTGGTAGGATGGGGGTGAGGACTGGTAGGATGGGGGTGAGGACTGGTGACTTTGATTTACAGAGTTAGAGTGGCTGTGGTTTCTCTTGTGTTAGTGACCGCTAACGCTGTTGGTGTTGTGAGGGAAAAGATGATAGACGTCACGCTGTTTTAGTTACACGTCGTCACACGGTACAATTCATACGTCATCACCCGGTACAATTCATACGTCATCACACGGTACAATTCATACGTCATCACACGGTACAATTCATACGTCATCACCCGGTACAATTCATACGTCATCACACGGTACAATTCATACGTCATCACACGGTACAGTTCATACGTCATCACACGGTACAATTTCTTACGTCATCACACGGTACAGTTCATACGTCATCACCCGGTACAATTCATACGTCATCACACGGTACAATTCATACGTCATCACACGGTATAGTTCATACGTCATCACACGGTACAGTTCATACGTCATCACACGGTACAGTTCATACGTCACCACACGGTACAATTTCTTACGTCATCACACGGTACAGTTCATACGTCATCACACGGTACAATTCATACGTCACCACACGGTACAATTCATACGTAATCAGACGGTACCATTCACACGTCGTCATACGTTGTCACAATTCGTCACACGCTAAAACTCATATATCGTCATACGGTACAATTCATACGTCGTCATAGTTCACCACACGTATCCACACGTTACTAATCACACGTCGTCACACGGCGTCACGCCTCGTCACACATTTAACATCAGACGTCGTCATACATCACAGACCGTCACATCTCAAACCGAAATAAACCAACACGATCTTTACGGTTTTTGTAGGTAATTCAAGGTTTAGGCTCTGTGGCACATCAGCGAAAAATCAAATCCCTCCCCAACACACACACACAAACTAGGATGTAACGTTATTAACCTACTTCACCCCACTCTTAAACCTCAATTAACATTTACCAATAATTAAGGTACGATCTAACGCTAGGGTTAAGGCGTTATGTTTAGCGTTTAGTTAACATTTTTGCGGCGATAATAAGCTTTACTAGCTCGTTATATACGGCTATCGATAAAACAATTGATCGAACACATTAATATCATCTATTGAAAAACTTATTTTATTTTTCAAGAAATGTAACAAATAGCTACTATCGCACATGTATTTTAATCTGCAAAATAACGTAGCCTACACATATCTATTCACTTATCCGCCTAATGTTATCTGAAAATGTGATCTTTTCCGTGTAATCGTGGGTTGTGGGGGAGGAAGGGGAGATGAAATACTATCGAAGATAATGGTAAAAAATTAATTTAAGAAATCTTAATCACGTTGATTGAATATAATTATCGCCGTAAAGTCTAGAATTATTTTTTTGCGTGCGGGTAGTTAAAAAACTCGCCTCAAAAAAAAATTCTTGAAATGAAACGGACGACATCAAATGAATCCGTGTTTACATCACCTCTGGAGTAACCTCCCCTCATCTCACCGCCCCTGACTCGCGGCGTCATTACGGCTCATAGTCTGGGGGATGCGTCGGCGTCACCTTCGTCAGACCAAATAACACGTTGCCCCGGCGCCCGCCCCATAATTTTGGAGCCTCCGTTGATTTGAGAGTCCATGGTCGCCCGCTAACGGGTGTGGGCTGTAAGCGACCAATCAATAACCCCCAGAATGTCCCTTAATTGCAACACTCGCAATTAGTGGTTGGGGCCCTGTACAATGAAGGAAATAAAAAAAAATCAATTTAACAATTTTTATTTTAATAAAGTCATTTAATGTATTGAAAATCTTTTAAATTAGACCCATTTTCAGTCTTTCAAGAATTTGATTTTTTTTCTTTCCTTGATTTTTGTTAACATTACGATTATAAAGTTTATTATGTATTACTTTTAAATGGCCACTAACCCATGAAGAAAGATAAATACAATAATTTTTAGAAAAAAAAAATTCGCGGATTTAATTTGACCCCTTGACCCTAGTGATAGCTCCAATTATATGCCAATCACATACATTGAGTGCAACTAGGTACTCACCTACGGGATGGTTAAACATTTCACATGTAGCACATATCGAATATTTAAACAGAGCGCTGAAGCACACATACATATACACATATATGTGGCAAAGCGTTACTTTAAAAAAAACTACATTTTCTTATTTAAATTCAGCTTTATCTGTGTGCTTCGTGTCGTAGCTTTTTAAATATGGGTATCTCTGTGATTAGCATTCTACCTGTGCAACACTAGGACAAAACAACAACAGCATTCATGTGTATCAGGCGAGTTATATATATATATATATATATATATATATATATATATATATATATATATATATATATATATATATATATATATATATATATATATATATATATATATATATATATGTGTGTGTGTGTGTGTGTGTGTGTATTTGTATATATTAAAAAAAATGGAAATGTATTATATGTAACATCATTACATCAAGTACAACCTTCAGAATGTCAGAGATGATCACAGACCCAGTACTATAATCACAGTACCACAAAGTACCACAAAGTACCACAAAGTACCATTGTCACCAACTCATAACCCTGGTCGCATTATAAGTTTGGTGATCACAGCCCTGTAACATAATCACATCCACTGTGCCTTGATCACAACCCCAGTGCCATAAACACAGTACTACACAGCATCTACAACCTGAACATATTTTTGTTCCTTCCCATTTCTGAAAGACCCGTTATATGCATGTATACATTGTTGTTCAGGAATTGTATCGTTCTCTCAAATAAAAATCCCATTCCACCATATATCTGTTGACGAATCGAATTTTAATACTTCTCCTCGACCTTTTTTAATCTTCCTCGTCTAACTAACTACCCCCCCCCCTCCCCTACCATACCATACCAGCTACCGTGGTTATCCCCTCCCCCCCCCCCACCAGTTTAGTAAAAAAAAAACCTCCAATTAATTTTGCTCCCATACAAGACAAGCTGGTGTCATGCGGGTACCATGTGAAGGACTTTCAGTCTTTTTCATCCCTGCTCTAAACTTCCCTTTCACATTCCCCCCCCCCCATCACCCCGCGATCTCCCACAGAAAAACAGACATCACGTATTGTCTGTTATTATCCAAGCTATTTTCTGTTTTCTTACATTTTGTTCCGTCTATTTATATAAGCACAAGTGACTAGTCCTTTTGTTGCCAACTGAAAAGAGAACCGCGGATCGTTTTTGTCTGCCCGAAACCTCCGTGATCTCTCGCGTATTTATCTTAAAGCCGATTAGCCATTGAGGTGTAAATAGTCCCTGCCCGTGTCTCCATACACCACGCTCTCTGAACCAACATTTGTATACGGCGTGACACCGGACTCCGCATCACAATATAATCCCGTCTGCATTATTTATTTATCATAGATTTTTTTTAAGCACAAAAAAAATTATCTTTTTGTGGGGATGCCTGGGGAATAGACTAAACGAGACTGGGGATCTATGTCAGGAATCCAGTTCATACCCAGGTTATAATTTACTCGATGTTAAGAGACAACAGCGTGCCCGACAGCACAAACACAAAAAACGACGTCAACTTATGTCTTAAGTCGAAGTGAAAGAACGAGTCGCATTAAATATAATTACAACCCCCCTCCCCCTTTCCAAACTCCCGATCTGCGGCCGCCCGTCTCGGTGGGACTTGAAACCCGACCCACCTCGTCATCTCGCCGCCCGACCCGACTCGGCCAGCCGGTGGCCCGCCAATCCCTTTGGCCTCCGGTTACATGGCCATTTAAAAGATATAATGAGCGGAGGTTTTTTTTCGGGGGTTTGTATAACATCGGCCACAGAGTTCTCTGTTAACTAGACTTGGATTATTTTTTAATAAAGTTACAAGAGAACGAGGGGGTAGGGGGAAAAATAATTTTTTTTATGCGGTGATAATGGTTGAAAGGGGGGGGGGATTTTAATCCGGAGAACGACAGGTATTGTTTTACAAGCTAATCAAATTAACGTTATATTTATCTGATAATCTGACGTGGCTTGAACGTTTAGCTTGGATCACCCACGTCTTATATTTTTTTAAGTTGCACTGGATCACAGACACGGTCTAGTTTGATAGGAAAATTAACTTAATTTTTATTTTTCACAAAAATAAATATTGCCTAGTCTCGTTGTTACACCACAGAGTCGTTCCAGGAATTCTCTAACGCTGACTGACTACTCCTCACAGTACTATAACAACACTGTGATCACAAGACCACAGATCCTAAGTTAAATGATCACATGACCACAGATCCTAAGTTAAATGATCACAAAACCACAGATCCTAAGTTAAATGATCACAAGACCTCAGATCCTAAGTTCTGTGATCACAAGACCACAGATCCTAAGTTCTATGATCACAAGACCACAGATCCTAAGTTCTATGATCACAAGACCACAGATCCTAAGTTCTATGATCACAAGACCTCAGATCCTAAGTTCTGTGATCACAAGACCGCAGATCCTAAGTTCTGTGATCACAAGACCGCAGATCCTAAGTTCTGTGATCACAAGACCACAGATCCTAAGTTCTATGATCACAAGACCGCAGATCCTAAGTTCTGTGATCACAAGACCACAGATCCTAAGTTCTATGATCACAAGACCACAGATCCTAAGTTCTATGATCACAAGACCTCAGATCCTAAGTTCTGTGATCACAAGACCGCAGATCCTAAGTTCTGTGATCACAAGACCGCAGATCCTAAGTTCTGTGATCACAAGACCACAGATCCTAAGTTCTATGATCACAAGACCGCAGATCCTAAGTTCTGTGATCACAAGACCACAGATCCTAAGTTCTATGATCACAAGACCGCAGATCCTAAGTTCTGTGATCACAAGACCACAGATCCTAAGTTCTGTGATCACAAGACCGCAGATCCTAAGTTCTGTGATCACAAGACCGCAGATCCTAAGTTCTATGATCACAAGACCACAGATCCTAAGTTCTGTGATCACAAGACCACAGATCCTAAGTTCTGTGATCACAATCGCACTTCACTCAAGTACCACCTTCACAATCCCACACATAATCACAGACCCAGTACCATAATCACATTACCACATAGTACCATTATCACCACCACAGTACACCCACAGTATCGTGAACACAATCCCAGTGCCACATCCCCAGTGACACCCACCCTAGTATCACGAACACAAAGACACACATGATCACATCCCGGGAACCGTGATCACCCAACTAGGACCCCACCACAGCTACCACAGCTCCTAGTACCCCATCCCAACTACCATACCAACTAGCACCCCATCCGAACTACTACACCAACTACAACCCCATCCCAACTTCCACATCAACTAGCACCCCATACTAACTACCACACCGACTAGCACCACATACTAACCACCACAAGTTCTAGCACCCCATCCCAACTAACACCCCATCCCAACTACCACATCTTCCTCTGTATTGAAACAGGGAGGTAACAAACGATTAGTGTCACCAGCAAGGAACGATAACTCCCGTCAGCTTATATTTAAGATGACGTTAAACGGGATAATTAATCCACATTTTCACAGCCCTGTAACGCCGGAGCAGCCAATATTAAATGCCGTCAAATGTTCGCACTATTCCAGTGAAGGTAATCATCTAATGCTAAAAGGGAATTTTTTCAGTACGAACTGAAGTGTGTATAGATCACTTGAGATATTAACTTCTTTCTCTGTGTGCTAGCGGTAGATTGTGCGTCAAGTAGCTTTAGGTTCTGTACGGAGGTTGCGAAATCAGGCTCTGGGTAGACGAGTAGGCTGAGCAGAGGCGGCATAAGTGGGACGGGGTTGAGAAATAAACTTGTTGGAGATGACATAATTGGGTACTGATTAACAGAAAGTGCTATCCGGAAGCCGATATAACCAGTTTGCTATTCGGAGAAAAAACTCGGATCAAATCAAACAAGAGCTCAAAAGACAGTTGATGCGTTAACCCGTTTTGCACATTGACACCCTAAATCATCATGCTTGAGTCCTTGAGGTCCTAATTGGGTTTGTGTATGTGTGTTGAGGGGGGGGGGGGTAGTCTAAGAATTACGATTAGGCCTATAGTTTACAGAAATATTCTCATCGGTTAGTCTTAAAAACACGATCCTTTATATTTTAATGTCGTTGTTTTGTCATTAGCTTGTGTTAATTTAATTCTTTACAAAACCAAATTATTTTTAAAAAAAAAACGTTCGAAATTTAGCACCGAAATTAGTTTATGATTAATTTTGTTGAATATTATTAGAAAATAAAATTAATCGTTTACGGATATTTTCTCAAAGCATATTAATTTGCCAACGGTGTAATTCATACATTTGAACTTATTAAATTGTAATGTCTATACCTTCGACTGTAATTATCTTCCCCACCCCCTTATACAAGATCCCCCCTGTCCCTATTCCACCCACACCCCCCTCCATCACTGAAAGAATCGCCTAATTAGAGTCGGATTCAAAACCCCGTGGCTCTAGAATATTCTCGGAGCTGTGAGGTATAAAATTATACACCCAAAGTCTACCCGTAATAACATACGCCGGCATTGCGATTCCTCCCCGCGCGTAATTAAACTTCGGAGTCCTGCCAAGATCCATTAAACTGGAAAACAATCTACGAGAGATGTCAAAATCGGGATTTCCCGTTGTAGTTTTAGCCCCCCGCCCCCCCCCCCCCCCCCGCTTAAGTTTAATACACTAATGCGATAATGCTAGTGGATTTATTGTAAATGCTTTATAACTATAAAATTTATGCAAGAGCTTCTCAACTAGCGATCATTTTTTATACGGGGGGGGGGGGGGGGGGGAGGTATGTGGAGAGGGAGAAGCCACTGCCGTTTAAGACAGCTGAAAAACTGGGGGGGGGGGGGGTTTGGTCCTAACCCAGTCTTACACCCCCCCCCCCCACACACCCGTTATTAGCTATGTTTGTTTAGTATTATCCGAGAGTGGGTCTAATGCCCCCGCCCGGCTTGTATGACGGTAAAGTTAGAGTCAAAAGCCGAGTGGCGACCTACGAAGCTGTTGTCTACGGCTCCGTGACACCAACGTGACATTGACGTGACATCATGCAACGTGATACAGCGAAGGTTGCGAACCATCTCAACCAAAAGGTCCCGGAATTATTATTTTTTTCCCAGAGTTACAGAAATTCATTGAGAAAACTCGTGAAGGGGTTTTTAAAAATGATTTTTAGAGTACGCGTTATACAAACCGTCTGGTTTAATGGCAAGGGAGATCAGTCTCGTACAAATGCTAATCTCCGACCCCCACGGAGGGGGATGAAAAAAAGAGAGAGACCGGTATGTCAACTGGGAGGGGAAGACCGTCTCCGACTTCCCCTCCCACCAAATTTACCCTCGCCGGTCCTCGACAGCGGGGTCCGTGACAAGAAGGCACCCTGACACCATAGAGGCACCCTGTCAGCGGTCATGTGAATACAACAGACGCAGGTACAAAATCTGATGGGTGGGGGGGGGGGGGGGACGGGGGAGACGGCGACATGATAGACATTATCTATGCTCTCTCGCGACTCTACCTCAGCGGCGTGGATAAAAAAAAATTGGATACTGGATCATTTTCGTCCAATGGATGGCACCGCGGGTGGGTTGCCCGGTTTGTAAAATCATCCAGCATTAAATATCCCACACCGGCCGGCGACAATGCGTCGTCGAGCCCGGTTCTTGATCCGGCATTCACAGGCGTTCTCTAAATTTGACTGCTTTCAGACGGGGGGAACAAAACGCGAGCGGTGTATGCCGGGGTCATAAGTATCGCCGGGGACAGAAAATATATTTTCCAACAAGGCGAAACACTGGAGTGGTCTGCCCCTTGATTTCTGGAGTTACCGGCCGCACGATGGAGACTTTGAGAGATGTCTGACTGGGAGCGTGGTTGTTAGATGTGGGGTTGGCACAACCCGTAAAATGGTGGGCGTGTTGTGGGCGGAGGTGGGAAAGTTTGACTCGGGTGTATAATTGTATCAAATACCACCGGAAAAACCCACCGGAACATGCAGCCAGGTTTTCAGACGCCAATTTGTCTGGCAGGAACAGTGAATGGAACAGCGTGTGCAATCGTCTGCTTGAAACGACAATTTGAGTATCTTTGCGGTTTCAATTCGGACATTTTAAACTCTTTACCTTGAACCTTATGTTACATTCTACGTAAATATTCTCCTCGAAAAAAAATGTATCTCGCTTTTGGGTTCTTCCCTCGGATTTCGTCGACATGACACGTGATCTTGCGGGTTAAAAGAAACTGAAAGAAAGTGCGACTTACATGTTGTCCTATCTGCGAAGGATTGTCTCTCGTTTCATAAGTATCAACCCTCATAATTGGCCAACCAGACTCAGGGTTGTCTCTCGTTATGTAAGTATCAACCCTCACAATTGGCCAACCAGACTCAGGGTTGTCTCTCGTTATGTAAGTATCAACCCTCACAATTGGCCAACCAGACTCAGGGTTGTCTCTCGTTATGTAAGTATCAACCCTCATAATTGGCCAACCAGACTCAGGGTTGTCTCTCGTTATGTAAGTATCAACCCTCACAATTGGCCAACCAGACTCAGGGTTGTCTCTCGTTATGTAAGTATCAACCCTCACAATTGGCCAACCAGACTCAGGGTTGTCTCTCGTTATGTAAGTATCAACCCTCACAATTGGCCAACCAGACTCAGGGTTGTCTCTCGTTATGTAAGTATCAACCCTCACAATTGGCCAACCAGACTCAGGGTTGTCTCTCGTTATGTAAGTATCAACCCTCACAATTGGCCAACCAGACTCAGGGTTGTCTCTCGTTATGTAAGTATCAACCCTCACAATTCACCAACCAGACTCAGGGTTGTCTCTCGTTATGTAAGTATCAACCCTCACAATTCACCAACCAGACTCAGGGTTGTCTCTCGTTATGTAAGTATCAACCCTCACAATTCACCAACCAGACTCAGGGTTGTCTCTCGTTATGTAAGTATCAACACTCACAATTCACCAACCACACTCAGCGACAGGTTTTTTCTCGTTATATAAACAACAACCCTCACAATTGGCCAACCAGACTCAGGGTTGTCTCTCGTTATGTAAGTATCAACCCTCACAATTGGCCAACCAGACTCAGGGTTGTCTCTCGTTATGTAAGTATCAACCCTCACAATTCACCAACCAGACTCAGGGTTGTCTCTCGTTATGTAAGTATCAACCCTCACAATTCACCAACCAGACTCAGGGTTGTCTCTCGTTATGTAAGTATCAACACTCACAATTCACCAACCACACTCAGCGACAGGTTTTTTCTCGTTATATAAACAACAACCCTAACAAGTGGCCAACCAGACTCAGCGACGGGTTGTCTCTTGTTATGTAAATATCAATTTGGCCAAGCAGATCGCCATCTCTGCTGTTTCTGTTGATATTTTACTGATTACGTATGCTAAAAGCGTCTATGTTCACACGTAGCTGATACCTGACAGATACAACGATTTATTTCTGTATTGTGAATGGAACAATACCACATGTATGCTATTAACATTAAATTTGCTTATATGTTTCAATGATATACAATCAAAGTGAAGTAGCGATTGCAAGAAAAGGCTGACTATATTTGGTACAGACGAAATTTTTGCCAGACCCCATCCTTCTAGATTAGAACATCTGTCATATTCACACAATGATGTTTATAAACTGTTGTCACAGACTTATTCCGTACAAGAATTCATTGTGTATGTCTACTTTTAAGGTCTGCAAATTAATTAATTCTAATTAACGGTTCATTATAAACCCACTTTTATCCACATGCATCGCTGTCCGCTTTCCAAACTCTAAAAGAAAATATGTAGAAAGACAGACACAATGATACATGTTTAATCCATTCACCATCCATCTTTGTGCCCTTATAGCCCATGTAGGGACTGGGTCCTGATTCGCCACCATCTTTCACTCAAACCTGTCTTCAAGTCGTCTTGCATGTCTAGACACCAAACTCCCATAGGTCTGTCTCCACATGATCTGAGCCTAACCCCCCGCCTTTAGGACTTTTGAATAAGTGGTTTCGGTTCTACATCACCTTAATCCCTCTCTTGTTTGACATTCTTCCCAGATGACCTAACCATCGAAGTCTTCCTTTTCAAATTTCTTCAGCAACTCTGGAGTCTTTGTGTAATTTCCAGGTTTGAATTCTACATCTTC